TAGCTGCTCTAGCAGCTGTCCTGCATATTTCTTTTGTGCACTTTTCAGTGCTTAAATCATAGAATCATAGAATTACTTAGGTTGGAAAATACCTTTAAGATAATGAGTCCAGCTGTTAACCCAGCACTGCCAAGTCCAGCACTAAACTGTCTCTAAGCACCACAGCTTCATAGCTTTTAAATGCCTCCAGGGATGGGGACTCTACCACTTCATGGGCAGTCTGTTCCAATGTTTAATAACCCTTTCTGAGGAGAAATTGTTCCTAATATCCCATCTAAAACTCACCTGGTGCAGATTGAGGCCATTTTATTTCATCCTATCTCTTATTACTTTGGAGAAGAGACCAACAGTTATACAAATAAAAAACAATTCGGACACTCATATTTTAAAAGTAAACTGGATTCATCTGCACATTAAGGGCATATATAGTGACCTATCAGCTTTTTAGCTATGTCTACACAGGGCAAGAGAATGTGTGTCCAGTTTCCTTGCAGCCACTGCAGCTGGAATGACTTGTGGCCCCTGGGAATCCACATGGCACTGTGCTGGTGCTCAGAGCACCACAGTTTCTTCTGCTAGGAACTGCCTGTGTAAGAAGTCCTTTCAATTCAAGCTGTCCTGGCTCTTCCACACTGTGTGAAGATACTGCTTGAAAGAGCTGAATGCTTTCTACCCGAACTGAAATTTATGGTAAATGGTTTCAATTAAAGCAAACACACAAGCTTTCCAAATCTCCCACAACTGACCATTGCCAGTATTGAATTTACACATGTGATCAGTTTTGAATTGGTCTGGCAGCCTTGAACTCGTCAAAGATTCTTTTCTAAGGTATCAAATAAACACAGTTCTCATTCCTCTGCTAAGCATCCAGTATTAGATTAAAATTTTTATGGCCAAAAGAAACCCTTTCACCATTGGTTTGACTTCTATATAATATAAGGCATCAGTTTTGCTAGATTTCATTACTCCTCTGTCTGGATAATAGTACTTTAACTAAACCATGTCTCTTTTGTGACCCTTGAACAATAAAATATTGCTTCCAAGTCACTGATAAAGATATTAAACATTGCAGCGCTGAAAAACATCCCCTGAGATATCATAAACCCACAAGTATTTTATTATTCCTCACAGAAATACATATTTTAAATTGCATTTTCTGCAATAACACAGGAGGCCTGCTTTGTTTTTTCATTAGCCTAGTTTCTTAAAAGAAACAGTAAGAATTCAAATGTCTTCCAAAGGTACAAAATAAGTCCATCAAAAATCTGTAAACTCTCGTTAGACAAGGATCATTGCATTTGCAATAAGAGCCTTAACTGTAATCTAATCTTCCTGCTCTTTTCGATTCATTCCAGATACACCTAAGAAAAAACTATTACTTCCTCCACACCCAGCTCAGCATGGTACAGAGAAAGTTTTTACCACTTTTTCTTTTTTAAAGAACTGACAAAGCATTATTTGGACATTCTGATTTAAGGATCCTGACAAACTTTTAAAGCTTTTTCAACATATTGATTTGTTGTTAATAAAATGGGAAAATAGAACTTCTTGCCAAGATAGCTATAACTTACATTTAACAAGTATCTACCACATTTATAGGGACTATCTAATACTTCCATATGTACCATCACTAACAAAAAGCATCAGGAAAAACAGAAAAACCTCATTCTTAATTAATTTATAATTATTAATAATTAATTACTAATTAATTAATTATTATTTTAATTAAGTTACTTTGTTTTAATGTCTTTTGCTTTTTTACTGCCTATAGTGTTTGACCTTGGTTTCTATTATAGGCTTTGCTGTTTGGTTGGTTTTATTAAACTGCCAGTTTTCATATCCCTATAAGCAAGACTGATTTTTAGCCAACAAGGCTTGTCTCAATATTGTTTATTTCATGAGAGTTTATTCACATCTTTTAAGCAGAAAACAATCATCACTCAAATTCTGATGTTTAAATGTTTCCCTTTCATCCAGCTTGATTATTTCCATCACCCTTAAACCATCCCTCTTCCAGTGCTGAACATGTGTTTCAGGTAGATCTCCACTAAACTGAAGCTGTGTGTATCTTGAAAATTATCTTTTTCCTTCTACAGGCTATTCCTTTAATCACTGCAAGGTCATTTAACATATATCTCTGCAATATTAGATGAACACTCAGGATCCAGAGATCATACCACCTCAGGATTTCCAACAACACTTTCATATCAGCACTCAGACTAATGCTTAAGTATGTTTTAATTGTATTGAAATTCCACCTAAGAAGTACTATCCTCACACCTAAAATATACACAGCTATTGGTAAGGCATAACTTTTAGTGAGATTGCCATGGTTTGTAGTAAATAACTAGCAGTACTCCAAATAATATTTTAAATGCTTTGAATAAAAATTCCTAAGTAATCACTCTCCTTGTCAATACCTTACAAAACAGGCCTATTATTTTTGACAGCAGTCAACTCTGCTTCTTTTGGACACTCAGTCCCACACCAACTACATGGAACCATTTTTTAGCTTGGTACATGGGACTTTCTACTAGGTCAATTTTTTACCCATAAATAAGCAGTTTCCATTTCTCTTGCTTATTATCTAGGCAATTGTATAAAAATGCTCTACTTGCTTCTCTTGTCTTTCCTTGGTTTTATGAGTAACAGGATAATACCCTAGCTAAAAATACTCTGCTAAAACTAATAGTAACAAGGACTTTAATAATCATCTCAAATTGAGTGAGTTGCTCCTCAAAGCATTTTGAGTTCTGTACACAACAAAACAATACAGGATGAGAGCTAGCAAAGTTGGGGGTTTTTTGAAATCTGCTTTAGAGTAAGAATTAATCTTTCTGGAGAATTTGCAGGTTGTGCACCTCTGCATTATAGCTGCCAAAAGTACATTTTTAAAACTTCCTTTGAAGCAGGGAGGCCCCCACAGAACGGGAGAAGGAACTAATCTAAATGGAAAACATCTGCACATTTCAAAAAACATGTTCAGCATAATTATTATTTATATGTGCACAAGTTGTGAGAGTGATTTCTATTGTATCTTACTATGGAAAATCCTGACTAGACTAAGAAAATACAGCCTAAAAATACACTTATTTGTTCAAGAGGTTTAGCTTTTAGGATAAAGGAATTGCAATGCAATTCCACGTCAACTTGGCCTAATACAATCAGCTTAGCTAGCAAAATGTAAATGCTTTTTGGTCATTTCAGTTCCCTATAGTGACTCATCAACTGGTTACCTGAACATAAGTGTTAAGGAGGGAACAGGGATGTGCTACTGGGTGAGAGGAAGGGTGCTGAGGGAAGAAATTGAGAGGAGTGGTGTCCCAGGATCCCTGACTTTGACTAAAGAAGCCTGGGAACTATATCCAAGCTCCCATTAATGAATGCTATCAGGCCCATATCATGTAATCATTTAAGGGGTAGAGCAACAAGGTCACACCTGTTCATATCTCAAGCGCAAAATTCAGAGGTCTCATTCCCTATGGCCCTAAGATAAGAAGCCATATCCCACAATGAAAAAAAAACAAAACAAAAGGCATCCTCCTGATCAGAATGTATTTCAGAGCATCAACAAACTTCAGGTCACACAAATTTTATGCACATTGTAATACTTAGTGTGCCACTCCTTCATATACGTTGAACTCAATGCCTAGTCACAAGAACAGAGACAAGAAAGTTGGGCTACTAGCATGGATAAGCCCGTTTTGATGTTGCTATGTGTGTATATGTAGATGTTTGATATCTTTCAAGTAAAAAATACGCTACAAAAATTAAAATTACAATGAAACACAAGCATAAAAGCAAAATGAAAAGCCTACTGAAGTATCAGAAGTAGCTGATGTAATTAACTGCCTAGAAGCATTCAATAATAGATTACAAAACTGGCTCAACTGCTCAAACCAAAAATAAAAATATTTTATAGCTTGAGACTTGTATGTGATTTGATATGGCCACTCACTACAGTGTTCAGATACATCTCACAAGAAAGCCTGTCTGCTCCTAGAAGGAGGTTCTGGTAGGACAGGGAGAGAAGGGAGCAGACATTTCTTGTTCAGTAATGCTTTCATCATACATTGTCTAAATGACCCCACTGGGGCAGGCGTGAGGGTGTGTGCATAAAGCTGAAGATGCACACACACAACCCAACAATCCAGAAGCCCCAGCTAAATTTACTGGTGCTGGAATGCTTTATTTAGCTATAATACACATAAACCTCTGATATGTTTATCATGCATAAAGTTTAACACTTGTATCATTTATAATACATCTTTACTTCTACAAAGGCTAAATATATTGTAGGTGGCTTTCTTTTTAATTTGACATCATTCAGAGTCTTCAAGTATTCAGATATTCTTTTAGCCAAAAAAATGGGAAGATCAAGGTCAAGTAGTTAACCAGTAATCCCAAGAGTACTGGAAAGAAGAGATTTTCAACAAGTTTAAATCTCTGAGTTTCACACAAATGGGAAGCCAAATTAAAGAGGGCAAGGTCCACCTACTTGAAGCACTAGAACCTCACTTGGGGAAAATTTATAGCACTACAGTGCATTTTATAATTAAGGGAACATACTACTGAAGTACATAGACACACCTTGCCAGCACAGATCAGACTACAGCCTCAAGTAGTTCACCAAAACGAGGGGCATAGTTATTCTGAATCTGAATTCAGAATTCACATTGGAAATCACTGCAGAGAAATTCTGTGACAGAAGTGGAGAAAGAACCCTGCCTTAAATTATATTTTTAACTCTATGATCCTCCTTTTCTTGAGACCAAATTTTCTACACCACATTTTAACATGTACAGTATATGCAGCACATTTTTAGAGACAAGTGTCCTTAATTACTTAAACCTTACAAAATAGTGTACACTGCATATTAAGATGAGTATATCGACACTGTATATTGGATGAGACATTTTCCTTATATCTTTTTAATCTGCACAGAATCAAAGTCAGTATTGTAACAAAAGCCCTTCACTACATCTCAGAAAAGGATTTACCTCATTATCCGTTCCCACATCCAACATCACTGGTAGACACTCATGAGGTTTTACTCCTCCACATGCTGTATAAAGTGCCAGTTTACCAACAGGAATGCCCATTCCATAACAGCCAAGGTCTCCAAGCCCAAGAATACGTTCACCATCAGTCACCACAATAGCCTGGAGGAAGAAATGAAGGCACAGTAAAAATCACTTCCTTGTTTGTATGTACTAAGTATTCCATTATTTTCTTACCATCATTTTTTATTTTACATGTAAAAGCTGTAACAGGTGCAAACAAATCAACAGTACAACAAAAGCAAAAAATTGTTTTATTATATTTTACTGTGGTTTTGTTACACTATTTTAGACTCTTGCTTCACTGTAAGTGGGACTTTCATATAAAACTTTTAAGAATACACAAGAGAGGTATTTAGTATTACATTACAAGAGAACTGGCATTGTTCCCTCTCACATTTTTCTGTCAACATTATGAAAACAGAATAGGAAGGGAAAGGAAGTTATCCACAAAAAAAGAAGAACCACGAACTCCTGGGTTTTGTCAAGTCTGTTTTCAGCAGAACCAGAGCCAGTCACTCCTACTGGCCTTTGTCAGGGCTGTCTACAACCACCTGGTTCTCACCCCTCAAAGATGTATGTCTTCTTCCCTTGAGTAAATAACACACTCCATCATACTTATACATATCAGGAAGCATGTGCTCTCATTGACTTAGTAAACCCCAAAAACTGTCTATATTAATAAGAAATGCTTTTCATAATAAAGAAGTACTCAGTAAGGCAAACAGCTGACAACACAATTTCCTTGTCATATTCACTAGCAAGCCATTTTAGTTTGAAATTTAATTTTTTATTTTAGAGAGAGATCATGAAGTACTGTAAGTGGAGAACTATTAACTCAGACTCTGGAATAGGGTTGCCAAGAGACCAAGAGTAAAGGCCTTGGTGAGGTCTTGGAAATACTCAAAACTCAAAGGCTGGACATAGCCCTGAGTAACCTGTCCTGGCTGACTTTGAGCAGGAGTATGGCCTGAATGAGTGACTTCCTACCTCAACTACTTTTTGATTTCCTGAAATGCAGAAAAAGCATTCAGGGGTGACTTTTTTTCCCATAATATTCAACGTAATTGACCAATTAATCAGTAAAGGACGCCTATAGCTAAAAAAGCAAGTGTTTAAATGCCTCAAACTCTGGCTGCAACAGAATTCTTTCTGTTGAAAAATTAATTAAGAAATCACCAAAATCTAAACTGATAAAAAGCTTATAAAAATATCTTAACCAATTCATCTTGGTTACAAAACAGCATCAACTTTGTTATGCAACTAAAACTGAACTTACCTTGATGACACTTTCTGGCCAGGATTTAAGCATTGTAGCAATGTGACCCCGGTCGTGGATAGAAATAAAAAGGCCTCTGTAAATAAAAAAATACTTTTCATATAAACATACTTATATACTTTTCATAAATAGTTAAATAATAATAAATCAACTTAATACAAATAAAGTATAATTGAATAAAATAATACATTAAATCTATGTAAATGTGTTCTCAACATACATAAATTCAGTTTGATAATAAGAACTTAATTTTATATGAATAGGTAAATTAATCATCTGCATTTAGAAGTCAGAGAACAAGTAACTCAGTAAAGCTTTGCTGAGCAGAGAGAACCTGTAAGAGTCCTTTCTGAAACCAACTCACTCAGCACTTGATCTGTTCAAATGTTTATCAGTTGTCCCCAACTACAAAATGAGTTCGTCTTATGACAGTGGTCACTACTGCCCCAGCAGTCCTAACATTCACAAACAAGAATAGGCCAAAGCTTTAAGCTATGAACAAAATCTGAAATAAGCCAGATATTATCATTACATAAAATAAATCAGGAGCATTCATGTTTTTAGAAAACAGTCTCCCTATTTCATTAGATTGCCATTTAGAGTTACAAAAGTGGGAAATTTTCTTGTTGCCAGTGAAAGAACATCCTCATTCTTGACCGGGGCAATTTTTTCCTCCAAAGAATGTTTGAAAATTGGCCTTTAGTTCCACCAGTATGGAATTTTAAAACAAAATAATAGAAAAGTGTAATTCTCAATTAATTTTCTGTTTATTACCTAAGCAAAATCGATATACTATCTTATTCTCCTATTCAGCATTTAATTCTTCTTTTATTTTACCTGACAGGTAGATATACATTCAGATCCACTCAGAGTTTATTTAATTCTATTTCTTATCTACCTTTTTTCTGTGAGATAGTGGAAAAATGCCACCTCTCAAAGTTTAAGTGAATGCACTTAAATGCAATCTCTCAAAATCCACAAAGAAATCATCAATGAAGAAGCCTCTGCCAAAGATGCCTTCTTGTAATTACATTTTGCATTAAGTATAAGGCATTGTCTTCTAGAATTATTCTAAAGCATGCCCCATTGCCTATTTTAAATTTAAATTAAATTTAAATTAAAAATCTGAGAAAATTATTGAAAAAATAATTTAAATCTACCAGAATATGACCTCATATTCATACAAGTGGGTCTTTTAGGTCTAAATAAAACTAATAAATCAGGAAAATGTTTGTCAGATATGACTGCACATATACCAAGTCAAGCAAAAAAATCTCCTGCAGTGTATACTAACCAAGACAGCAAAATTAGTCAGAACATTATATTTAATTTCATACGTTTAAATATTTCAAACACATTAGAGGATATGTTTATATATAAATTACCATGTGATTTATATTTTTATATTGAATTTATGATTTAATATTTAAGTGTCTTCTTTCCCTCTTTGATGTCAAAAACATCCAACTGAAATTCTTTATTATTTAGGACAAAAAGCAATGTAAGCCGTGCTGTGATTAACCAAATTATTTCATTTTATGCATTTTCCCCTAAAACTAAAAATCCTCTCATCCTAGCACTTCCAATTCATTCTCTGTGTCCATTTCCCATGCTCAGAACTAACACACTAGGCAGGACATAAATGCATCTCGCTTGTTTCTTAATAAGTAGCATCTGCCATCAAATTAATTTCTCGATCCCAGTGGAAGTAACAGGTCTTCAGGGAAAGGAGGGTTAATTTTACAGCACTTTTGAAATGTTCTGGTATTCTGGTATGTACTGCACACAAGCATATCTATTTGTGAGCCAGCTACCTGAGAAAAGATGCCCCTTAACAGTGAAATGTCATAAAACTGCAAATAAAAATACATGATGCTTCCTTTCTCATGTATTGTACCATGCATCATTTTATAAAACAGCCTGTAAACCTGTAAATCATAAAGCACATCTTATCAAAATTGCTAGCCTTAAGAGACAGCTGTGACAGATGAGTGTGTGAAAGCAAGCACAGAGTGCTGGAAGAAAGTGATCTTGTGGGATCATTCCTCTCCTTGTCTCCATTCTCCAATTTACACCAACCTAATAGATTCGTGTTAAATGAAGCAAGATTTTGTATTGATTTTCTAAAGAGTCAGAGCCCAGCCCAGTGTGCCTAAATGACCTCTTCCTTGCAAGCAAGCGACAGAGGTCACTATGGAATAAATTCCCCAGCAGAGGAAAATAAAGGTAGGATGGCTGCTCCAGAAGGAATTTTGTTAGAACATTCCTAAGGACCTTTGAATAAGTATTGAGAGCGTATTTCAGAAATCTGTTCAAGCAGGATCAGATTCAAGCCACAATGGAAAACAGAAGCTGAAGTGTAAATAGTGATGTCAAAAGCATTTCACTCCCCTCTTTTTCCCTTTTCCTCCATTATTTCAGTAGTTTAGTAAAACATTTCTGGACACACTGACCTGACCAAGAATATGTTCCTAAATTTAAGGCAACAGAATAAGAGAGATGATTTTTTTTTATTCATCTGGATCTCTTTTCTTCATCCTTCATTTCCTTAACTAAAACACTTTCCTTCTTGCATTCTCTGCAATTAGGTACACCAAGTTGGAAAGAGGAACCCTGACTAGCAAAGGTGTCAGCCACAAGACTACTCAGCTGGTATTAGTGGAACTGAATTCACTGGCAAGTCTACATGCAGGCAGCCATCAAAAGGTAGCACTACATGTGTTTTCTTTTCCATGCTATAGCCAGGGAAAGTACCAACTGCATAAGGTTATTATAAGTGGGATAGGACTGAGAAGCTGAAAAGATACCCATCAATTTGGCTACTTAGCCGACATTACAGTTATTTTGGGGCTGTCATAGCACAGCTACAAGAAGAATGAAGCATGGGGCAAGCTAGATGATTTACACTGGATTCAGTTCTACATGGATTTCAATCCAGAAATATGACTGAATCATCCATTTGAGTATAACATTAATAATAAAAATAAGCACAGTCATGCCAGTGATGCACATCCTGCTGTGCTGGACGAGGAAGAGATGGCCTGCAGGACGTGCACCTGCCTGACAAAGCACTTCAGGATGGGGCTGCTAAAGCAAATGGACAAGTAATACATATAATCACATGGAGAAAGAAGCAAGATACAGGGAAAATATTATGGAGAAGAATACACTGTTTATTTTTTCAGTATGCACATATTCACATTTCTAAGAAGAAAAGCAATTAATGGGGAATTAGGATAAAGTTCTCTTGCACACACTTTCAGATCAGTCCAGCTTGGCAAGCTCACTGAAAAAGCAACCGTAGCTTTTAAAATACAATGTAGTCCTTTCTATTTTAATGGATATCTTGGTTATACATACTATCTTTTCTTGCAAGGCAACAAAGTCAATCACCAAAACTGTGAGTTAGAACTGTTCTGAAGCTTGCAGCCTCAGATCAGTCTTCTAATTAGTGTGTTCATTTTGAACACAATGCAGTGCAGATTGTCTTGCCTATGCACGTATGATAGAACAACTTGCCTAAGCACATATGCAGAAGTGCTCATCTAGAATCAGTTTTGCCCCAGTGAGCCCTCAGCTCAGCACTGGTTGACACCAGCCCAGCCAATGCAAACACTGCTAGTGACACCCATTTCAGCTAGCCAGAAAATGTATGAAACCATAGCAGAGGAATAATTAGGCAAAGAAGTAATTTACACCTCTTTTCTTATCACACCAGCAGTAAGACTGAAGAGTAAGAGGGAGAGCCCACAGGAGGACATCAAGATCCACTCAACAAAGGGTGGATCTATTTTGGGTCACTGAGCTCACTACACTGTAGCATATTTCACCAGTCATGTGGAGGTCATTCTATAGCACATGATTTGAGTCTGTTTTATTAAAATTTTGATCTATGAGAACAAAGTCAACAGACTTAAATGGAGCATTTGTTTATTATGTTTGAGGAAGGAATGATCTACCAGCAATGTATTTGTCTATTTTCTATTAAAGAACAGTTTAGGAAAATGTGTCATTGTAACAGAATAATCCTTTCTTTCCTCTTCTTATAACAACAGGAGGTAATCTTAACATGTCTCATAAAATGCCAAACATGTTTAATAAAAAAGTTCAGACTTTTCTCACAACCCTATAACCCTACATATTCAAGACTGTTATTTGAATTATGAACTGTACACAGAGTTACAGTAGAGGTGACTTCACTTCCCCAGGCAGCCTAAACCAACAAGCTCAATAATAATAACAAAACAAAAAAAAAGAAGCAACAAAAAAACCAAAACAAAAAAAAAAATCTCAGGGGCCAGACACAGTTTATTTCTGAGCTTAGACTCTCCCAAACTTCTGTACTTGGCAAGAAAGAGGTAAACTACTTCCCTGGTCCCTGTTAAAATTCCTTCTTATTTTTAAAATCATGAAAAGAAATACAATACAAACTTTGTACTAGGAACTAAGAGTACCTATATCCTGGCAGAGAACATTATACTCTTTTTTCACCATATTTCCCATTGTGACTGTTTAATGTGGTCTCATATCTTCCTATAAGACGTGCTCGAAGTTTTCATTACATCTTACCACAGCAGGTTCCTTTGCATTGCAAGGCCATTGAGGCCTAATAAATACAAGAGATGGGCTGATTGAAGAAATGCAGCTGTTGACAGTGTTGTTTATTTTCTTTACCTTTCCCTTTGTACAGAGATGAATTTCATTACTTTGCAATACACAGGTATGTTTTTCAACATACAAAATAGTAGATGCTGAAATAGCAGCTGCTACTGACTGTCAGCCTGAATTCATCAGTGTTAAAGAAACCTGGGCTTTAGATTATCTAGATGTGGCCCATTCAAATAATATTTAAACAGAAAAGTTTGTAAGAAGCAAAATAAAGACTAAATCAAAAACAATAGGTACTGCTAAAATCTCTGAAAGTGTGGAGCTGTACATGAGCAAGATGTAGCTCATAAAAAAAGTAAATTCTAGCAACATGTTAATGACAATGAGGGTAAAATGCTAATCCTGAAAAGACATAAAAGTTTAAAAAATTATGTGTTATTTCATGCTTAGCATTTGGTTTTGTAAATG